TGTTTTTAGCGTTTCCGATTCCGTCGATCCGTACGAAGGCTACTCTATTTTTGAGTGAGATTTTCCGAGTTGGATCTGGGAATTGAAAATTTCAATTTTTCAACTGGAATTTTTCAAACCGTAAGAAACCGCCTTAGACGAGGATAATTCTTTGCAAGCGGGATGAGTCTCATGCCCTTGCTTGAAGCACTCCATTCAACACTTGTAAACAAAATCGCACTAGTGAGGTATCGGCCAACGTACATAAATCATCCTCGCTCCGCTACTTCAGAGAAATTTCCTACGAAGAGTAATGAGTCACGAAGGGGGTCCGCTGGAAATACAGCTTCAATCCCCTCCCCATTGTCCATCACTCGCTTGCTTGCCCCCCTCATGGACACGACTTCCAACTTCGTCGGATACACCACTCATATGTCGTGTTCGCCTCGAGTCGATGATCCATCGAGCCCCACAGAGGGGTCCCCAACGCCATACCAAGGAGGGGGCTGCCGCACACACCCATATCCAGCCACCCCAACCCATTCCACCAACCACGGTGTGCCATCCAAACCCCCCCGACACTCACAATCACCAGAATAGCCTCCCATCTTCAGCCTGTCGAGCCAAGTCGCCTAGGTAGCAAACTCTTCATACGTCGATCTACAGGCTACTGGTCCGTCGGGGGGGGAGCTGCCGCATCAACCCTTTCCTTGGCAGGCACGACCCCCTTGGCGACCAGGTTATCCATGGTCTCGATCATCACCTCCGAGGGGGGCGCGGGGCACTTGCCGTCGTCTAGCTTTCTAACGTAGAAGTACGGCTCGCCGAGCTCGTACAGCTCGGGTCGCAGCCCCACCTCTTGTGGGGTCAACTTATCCACCTTCGCGGACACACGCGAAGGAAGGGGAGAAGAAATCAAGTGGCTTGTCGTTGCAACCAAACCATACGCACGGCGATTCACAAGCGGCGTTGGTGGCGCTCAGTCCACTGGTAGCTCTCGTTTCTCGCCAGCAAGGATTGTCAGAACCGATAAGACTTGACAGATACTGCAGTGTCGTTCGGTTGAAGCATCATCGCATCCACGCGTGAAGATAGCGAGGTGCAGCGCTTTAATAGCAAACGCCATGTCGTGTGTGCCATACGTTCGTATTTGCGTTGTTGGGTCCTTACAGGATAAACAAAAACATATGGTCATTCAAGAATATACACACAGTCGATCTCCAACGCGCACCGCCGACAGCACCATACACCCAAACCAACGGCTTGGATGCCATTCTCTTTTTCTTCCTTTACCCAACGCACACGATACTGTAAGCTGCGTCAGCGCCCCCGAAAAATACAGGAAAAACAAACAGCGGTACAAAGATGCCTGGGCATGTTCACCGGCCGTCGTTGCCGGGGAAAATAGAGTTCAGCCGGGTTACGTGTACGCCGAACCCAGGGATGGTCTTCGCCTCATGACCCCGACCGTTGCACCCACCTTAACATCCTTGCCCTTGCCAGGGCCCAGCACCCTCACGAGGTCGTGGATGTTTCTTGCCACCTCCACCTCGGAGTTGAGGGGCGCGGTGAAAATGCGCATCGGCGCCGGTTTATCCTTCCACATGGGCTCCAAGAGCTCCACGTGCCCCAGAATTAGCCCTCTCTGAAACTGTGAGCCGTGTTTGGGATACCACGGTGTTTGTGTGGGAGGCACGGGGCAGGTCCGCGGGAGCAAAGGACACAACAAAGTGCAACGAGCTCCGTGTGAATATTTGATGCAATTTCTTTGTAATTCTGGTGCTGGGAGAAGATGGATTCAGTCTCCACAAAGCAATACGTGGCGAAACACGATCGGATCCGTGTGTCCCGTTTGCTGTGCTTCTCCCACACGGTGGGCACACCGATCATCCTCTTCGTTCGACCATGTTTACTTTTACCTCCTAGGAGGAGTATCGTTTAGTGCACGCTCCAATGCGGTTGCAGACACTCCTTTCCGCCAGTAGCCCCGGCCCTCGGCGCTCGGCGTTCTCGAAACAAACCGCAAATCACACATCAAATACACAACTCCTTCCTGCCGCCCAACTAATCTCTTGCCAGGACGGAAATGGCGAAAATCGTACGCGTGTCTGCGTTTCTTCTCAGCTGTGTTGACTGCAACCACCCATAATCGGCTGACCCAACTGCAAGACTTTTCGCTTTATGCACACGTCAACTCAAAGCGCGGACAGCTCAGATATGATGCAGACACCTGTAACGCCTGCTCCACAGTGATTCCTGATGACCAAGCTGCTTTCCCCATGAATATGAACTTGTCATCCCCCTGCAGCCAATGCAGTCCAGCCAATGGGAGCGCGGGGTGGAGGAGGGCAGGTGAGCATGTTTACGTTTGGTCACAAGGGCCCTCCATGGGGAAACCGTGGAACACCCCAGCTACCCCCCCCCCCCTCCCGGGCCAAGATTGGAGCGCAATATATATGGGGTAAAGGCGACACGCTTGCAGCAGTCTATTGTAGAGGATTCAGTGTATACAGTAAAATCGATATATTCTTCATTATTCTTCATTGAATTGACTTTCGTGCCGCATTCTAAAACCCCTAAAATTCTCTTCAGTTGTAGGCTTCGCGTCGTCATACTATTTCCTACACCATACACGAGACCTCTCGACCAAGATTGACGCGTATTCTTGGGGTGTTTCCATAATTCCACTAGTTCTGTGTGGGATTCCGCGCGCGCGCGCTGAAAAAAGCGCCCGAAAGTGTCGAAACCCCGGAGATCTTGTCAAAATGTTCCCGGCCGGAGACACATAAGGCCCATCCCCCCCCCCCCGCGACCAAGATTGCAGCGTAGCCCAGGGGTGTTCCGACGTTTCCACATGGAGGGCCCCTTGTTGGTCGTTCTTCTCTGCCTTGCCACCGATTGCTGTCCTCACCAAAATGATCTCGGGCCCTCGCGATGGTTAGTTAACGACTACCATTGGCTGGAACGAGCGATCTTTTTCATTATGCCAAACGCTGTAGTACAGCAGTACATGCAGAGTAGTTTGTCATGAAGCAAGCTGTAGAAGACACGAAAGCTGCGCACGCGATAGGCATTTGCTGTGACCCGGCGGTCGAGCCGCAGGTGAACTATTGCATTAGTCTACTGCTCTATTGTTTTTTGCAGTTTTCCTGCAATCTCGACGGCGGGAAGCCTATCCTACGATGGGCAACTCAGTATAAACCGCAACATATACGTTCGCGATGTACAGGGTGTAGTCTACACATCGCTTCTACAGCAGTACTACTGTAGTACGACCTGGTACACTGTAATACTGCTGTGACATCACGTTGAATCGAAGCGTATGCGACGTAGTACCTCTCGGTGCACGTAGACGTCCGCCCCTTCTGCACCAGCCGAAATAAGCCCTTGGTAGGACTTCACCTGCCGCTGGTAGGCATCCTGCCCCCTCCCTACACCCACGACTTTCTTCTTCTTTACCGGCCCACCGAACCCCCCCATTATCATGACCCGACTGCTGGTAGCGCTTCTTGGCCGACCACTTGGGATCATGTGCCATGCGGAGGATGTTTGTCGGAGCTGCCATCCAGCTGGCAAGGGAGCGAAACTATCCACGTCGCAGAAGAGACCAAGCGCGATAGCTGCGCTTGGAACCGCTGAGATCTTCATGTCGAGAGCTGTGTTCGGGCGGCAGGCGAGCGCGTATGTACGACGGACACACCTCTGACTGGAACACCGCAACAACTCGATGCCGTGGCTTTGTTGAGCCGCAACCCGAGCTCAAGGGGCTCCGTAGTAAGTACCCCATCCGCTCCTATGCCGCATTGTATGATCTGCGGGTACAGGAGGGGGATTGGAATGTGCCTGGCTGCTGTGCTACACAACGACACCTCCGTGCCTTCGTGAAATTCGCACAACATGTCGCGACCCATGGATGAGGAGGAGCCCAGTCTGCTCTTGATAATCCTGGACGCATCCTCTGCCTTCTGGACAAAGCGAGAAGCTGTCCGGCGAAGACAGAAGCAGGTGTCCTCTGCAGAAGCAGCGTACCGCAGCGGTGTACCCATGGATAGTTAACTGCTGCGCGTTGCCCGCTCTCACCTGCTGCACCGACTGCTTTCAACTCGTGTACCAGCTATTGTCATCCGCACATTCTGGAGACAATACAGAATCCTCCACGTTGCCGCCCGAAACTGCATCAATCCGGTCGCATTCGAAATTGCTTTGGTTCGCCTCCAGGCTGCTTGTAGTCCCCGAAAGTCAGGTCGAGCGGAGGGTTGCGGTTTGAAATGACGAATTCGCATGGAACTGCACTGCTTGTGTTGCAACGCGTCAAATCCAACCTCTCTCGCTCTCTCGTGCATTCAATCGCCACGTGCTTGATGCAGCAGCAGCAGCAGCAGCAGCGGCCACACTACCGATTAACCCTGCCCATTGTGCAAGGCTGCCCGAAGATGTGTATTCAGTACTTCGAGCAACGTTTACATCATGTGTGACCAACCTTCCGTACATACCGTTTGTCCTCGGGTGCCGACAACATAGATAGCTTCACATGTTTTGGGGGTAACACATGCACACCATGTCCCGATGACTATCTCATGTAGCAATTTTCCGTTGCGCTATGGTGATCACCCGCACCGATAGGTGGGTGTTCCCTTGGGGACGGTGTCCGCTGGTTTGAAAACGTTTCGTGACGCTCCACAAGAACCGCGGATATGACACGATGTGGATATATGTGCACGGGATTCACAAGGGGGAACCCGCACGTATTACCGTCGGAGTGACGAGCGTCACGCGCCTCCCTCCCGGACGAAAATCTAAGCGTCTTCCAATCTTCTCCCTCGACGGCAACGTTGCACCTGCTGTACTCGTGTGTACCTACGTGTCAGCGACCGGAGTCAGGCGAGGTGAAGCTGTCGTCCTTCCAAGACACGGTGGAGGCCACTCTAATGTTCGTTGAGAGCTACCTCATGATGCACCGACGAAACGAGGTGTGCTTCGTCGCCTGCACCGCACGGGAAAGGTGATCTTTGTGCTTTCAGCAGCAACGTGGATTACCGCAGATGTTGCAGCGAGGACCATTTGCCTCTGACCTCCATATTCGTGCAGCCCTCAAGGCGTTTGTGTTCCATAATCTTCCGCGTTCGTCTCGTGTGCAACTCAGCACCATCATCTTCCCTACCCCCGCCATGGAGCGGGAACAGCGATCGCTTGGCAGGGGTTCCGTGAGCACCAAGGAGTTCCAAAACTGCCTGTGGGATGGGCTAGGCCGTGTAGTCGAGAGGGGTCACGCGGCAGGTAAGGCAAGACCAGGCCTCCCGTCGATGGGAAGTCCATATGAAATGGTGTGTGCGTCCAACCCCACCACTGTCTCCCTCACCCAACAATAGGTACGCTGTAGACATCGGCAGCTTATCATTTAGTCTCCTGTCTCCACATGAAAACAGCCATGTATTCGGTGACGTCTTCCACGAAATTGGAGATCCCCTGCGATCGGACATTGCTAGTAAATAGATTAGACACCGCCAAGGTTGAGGGGGTACCTGTGTATGCCTGTTAGTTGGTTAGCTCGACATCACCGCACGATACCACTTTAGAAGCTACCACTGCTTTCAGAGGTAGCGCTTTCAGAGGTAGCGCTTATTATCCTGTTGAGGGAGGTAATGGAACCTTCCTGGTCTTTGTATACAACTGTCCATTGGTGCAACGCTAACAAAGCCGGATGATAGTTTCGGTCGACGTAGTGGCAGTCGGTGTCCTGGCTGTGTGTCCCGATCGTTCGCGATAAGTTGCAAACAATCGACGCTCAACGTTCCTCCTCTTGTCCCCTGTGGGCTTCCGCCCTCGCCCTACTGTCGCTGCGAATGCTCGGTCATCCCTTCCGTTCTTCTTGGTTTTCGATTTCCCTCCTGAAGACGCGGCGGGCGGAGGGGACGAGGGGTGCGCTCTGGCGGGAAGCCTGTCTAAGGGCCTGTGCTACGTTAACAAAAAAATGCGCGAGTCCTCGTCGATCCAGGCAAGTCCAGTGCGTTGATGTCGAGGACGCCGAGGACGGCGTCGGGTCATTGACGCGCGCGTTTTCCCTCCTTGTTGCTGCTGGAACCGCAGGAGCTGCTGCCGCTACTGCCGCCGCTCATGTTTCGCCGGATCAAGCGCATTTTTTTTCGTTTGTCCGGAAGGTTGACGCCTTGAAACCCGGCGCGCATGAGAAACAGCCTGAAGCACAAATGTGGCCTAAAGGGCAGTACATGTTTACCGCTATGCATTCTTCTGACGCCTGCTGGTCCGTACGTCCCGACGCACTTTGGTCAAGACTCTGTCTCTCTCTCTTTGCACAAGGATATCAACAGGGGCCACCTGCACTGTTGTTTGCGCACAAGAGACTGGGTGGGATTGCTGACGTCAACTTTCGGCAGTACCACATAGCTGATGCACCAGAGACGTGTCTTACAAGGAGGCTATTTTTGCCGTATCCTTTAAGCGACCACTTACTCCACCATCCTGCCCGCCCATTTCCCCCGCCCCCGCTTTTGGTTTCCGGAACAATGAACCACAGGCGCGGGCTTTGGTCCTGTCGGGATCACCGGACGTTCCGGAGACGTACAATTCGGTCATGAACGCGATCTTCTCGGCGCAGAAGGCCGGGGTCCTCGTGGACTGCGCCGTACTCGGAGAGTCGTCCACGTTCCTTCAGCAAGCGGCCTACCTCACGGGTAAGGGGGGGTGTACTCATAGTCGTGCATGCCGTAGTCGTTAGACCATTGACCTCGCATCCCTACAAAGCCGGGACGGAGCACGCCGGGTTCTCACCGGACCAGGCTCTCA